GTGGTTTTTCTCTTTCTGTGACTGATTTGTTTCACTTAATATAATTTTCTCTAAGTCCATCTACGTTGTTGCGAATGGTAGTATTGCATTCTTTTTTATAGCAGAGTAGTACTCCATTATGTAGATATACCACAGTTTCCTTATCCACTCATCTGATTATGGACATTTGAGCTGGTTCCAACTCTTGGCTATTCTCTACAACTTCTTTAAATATAAGGGTTAGATTATTCTCTGAGGAATTCTTTTAAAAGTGAAATATTGCCATTACAAGGAACAGGAAGTTAATATCAAGATTGCAAAAAATAAGATGACTTCATTAGTGTCCTAGCACCTTAATTTCAAAGCTTTAAATGGCAGTTTTTGGTTCCATGAGTGCCAGCTTTTCCATAATGACAATCACACTGTAGTTCTACAAGACTTACCTCTTACTATTGCTTTCATGTGGCCGGGTTTTAGCTTTCTGGCAGCTGTCACATCATTGAGAGCAGAACGAAAATTGCCTAACAAAACACCATTTAGCAAAAGAGAGAACAAATTTTGAGATAAAAATATTTCCAAAATTTTGTGTATAGTGACAAACTCACTCTTGTACAGTCGGAGAAATATAAACCAGAGCAACTGTATTTAGAAAAAATATAGTTGTGCTAATCAAGAGCCTTACAAATGTTTATAACAATCCACAGAAGAACTGTAAATGGCTATGCTAGTAAGCCCATGAAAAGATGTTCAACATCACTAATGATTAGGAAATTAAAATTAACATGAAATTGGTAAAAATTAAAGACAGATAATATTCAGTATTGGTAAAGATATGGAAAAAGAGTACTCTCAGGGTAAACTAGAGAACAAATTAGCATACACTCTGTGCACACACTTTTCCCCAACAATTTTCTTGTAGGAAATTGTCTTTAAAAATACTTGCACAAATGTGCAAGGATAAATGTAAAAGCATGTTAACTTCAGCATTACTTTTAATTGTGAAAAGCTGGAGATAGCCTAAATATCCTCAATTTGGTAAGATTATATGAATTATTAAATACTATGCAACCATTAAAAAGGATGAGATAGAGGGCTGGCCTGTGGCTCACTTGAGAGAGTGTGGTGCTGATAACACCAAGGCCAAGGGTTCGGATCCCTGTATAGGGATGGCCAGTTAGCTCACTAGATAAATCTGCATATGAGAGACATTGTAGGATGTCTGTGCTATATTGTTTTAAGTGGTAGTTCTATGTGTATAGTAGGAGCTTATTTTTGTAAAACAAGCAAAGCAAACTAAATATACAGACACATACACATGTATATATCTGTAAGTGCATTAAAAAACAGGTATGCAATCACATACACCAGTTATCCAAACTAAGTGGAGTGCATGAGGTATACTTTCAGTTTCCAGTTTGTAAATATTATTTCATGGTTTAGTATTTACCTATTAATTTCACTTCTGAACTCTAGCCCAGGGGTCAGCAGAATTTTTCTGTAAAGGGCCAGATAGTAAATATTTTAGGCTTTGCAGGCCACATGTGGTCTGTCACACATTATTCTGTTTTTTTTAATAATCCTGTAAAAATGTAAAAAAACATTTTTAGCTAATGGTAACCTAGGGGGCCAGACACGGCCTGTGAGTCACAGTTTGCCAAATCCTGCTTTAGCCTAAGGGATAACCAGAATTATTGGAAAAACTTTATGATTAACTTTGTTCATTTTTGTATTATTTAAAAAACCTAAAAGCAG